GTCTGAAAATGTCTTCCAGCCTGTGTGATAATTGTGGCAGTCGAGCCTAACTCAGCCGCCGTTAGGACACTAGAAGGACTGGGATCAATGATAATGGACTCGTTGATTGGCTGAAGTCAGGCCGGCCATACGAGAATACCGGTCGGCACTAGCAGTAGTGCTACTGAAACCCTACCTTATACCATTGGTTTTCGATGTGCTAAAGTACTATCGATAGTTGTCGAACTCTGATCAAACTTAAACTTAAAACTTAAAACTTAGTAAGATGTTTCGTTAGGGATTATGTAGATGGCGTCATTTTCAAGGCAACGTAACAAAAACAACTTGGTCAGAGTTCCTTCGTCCTTACCCTAACATCAGGCCTGATGTTAAACCCTGCCTTACCTTTAAACCTTATCGCAATACTAAGCATGATCATAACTTAACTACAAGCTAAACTTGCACAAAACGCTAACCAAAAAGTTGTCATAATCACCCTGGCATTTGGCGCAAAAATAACTTTACTCTGGGTGGTTCTGGTTCGTCTGTCCAGTTAAGCTGGCAATATTAGTCATCTTTCGCAAGGCAGCGAATGGGTTATGGCCCCAAGAATCGGCAAAGAACTAGTTTACGAGGGTACTCGCGAAACTTATCGGTCGATAGGCGTGTACTACGAGAGCCGTGTTAGGTGCCAGCATATCTGCAGTTTTCCGACATATTCCTATCCTTTTTTCAACAGGGTTGGCCGTCTTTGGAGGGTTTATCAGCACCGCACAATAAGTATTTGTCAATTTTATAAAAAATCGTCTCGATTAGATTGTTTAATTCGCGTTGACTATTTTGCAGTCTTATTCCAATACAGTAAGTCATGCCAGGATTTGGACTTTCGAATAAACTTCTGATCTGGCCACCTGCGAAAATAGTACTTTTTAAAAATCATATACTTAATAAGCATGCATTTTACCATAGATTTTCGGTACCGCTAAAAATTTAAATATGCTGTATAGAAAACAGCAACCAAAATATGCCTTTAAGTATTCGTTTGGTAGCGAACTAAGCCTTCTTTTCATTTGTATCTGAAGCAAGAATTTTAATCCTTAAAATTGTAAATAATCTGATTAATATAACCGTTAGATGTTCACTCTTAATAAATCTTATCCGTAAATTTATCAATGCTGAATATAACGTATGCAATACTAAAAATTACAAAATATTATGGTTAGTATGATACATCTTCGTAACAGCCTAAGAGCTATTGTATTTCGTCTAAACAGAATGTACACAGCATGCAATTTGAAAGTCGTTGATTACAATGTAATGTTTGACACGGGTGAAAATAATATAGCGTTATAGATGGATGCTTTAAAATCCGAAATACACATATCCTTTGAATCAACCAAACTTGAAGAATGTGTACTTTGCTAACATACGAGTAAAAGAAAAAATATTTTTTAGATTTTTCGGAAAATATATTTGAGTCTATAGGGTCGGCAAACATACATGTAAACAATAAACGGTAAGAAAGTAGCCATTATTACCGAGCACTATTTTTGCAGTTGGCCGACACTAAACAAGACGTGACGGAACTAGCCCCAGTTTGGGCTAAAAGATAATCAATCATGAAACCCTACGCAAATAATTTGTTCAAATGATAAACACATTTGCTGAGCTGCGTAAATTAACATGCTTGATCAAGTAGAAAGTTTTTCCAGATAATTTCTTATACACAACCCTGAGGCATGCAAAAGTATCGATACTATATCAATTAATAAGACCGCGGAAGATACAAAAAAGAAAATAACTGAAAAGCTGAGTTGGGCTCTTTACTTACAAGAACCATGCCATTCTCGAACTTGTGTATTTTAGCGGGGAAGTACCGGCCGTCAGCAAACGGCGGTAGACCGCCACAACCCGCAACCTCGAGGTCGACCTGCACTGGTTTACCATCATTGGTGATCTTTGTGCTCCCGCCACCCTGAGTGGGCTGCGTTTCTATCTCCGCGAGGACCGGACACCTGCAAATGGGGTTAAGATGGCATTTCGGTGAACTCATGTGTGTGTATTACATTATCTACTAGCCTCCCAACCCGATCAGCCTCCATGGTCTATTTATTTGAGATCCCTTGGAAAGACTAGCGTTACCTACGCAAGAAACAGGCAAAAATGACCTTAAATAGGGTGCTGCATATAGGCGATTGTGACAGCCCCTCGGAATATTTGCTGTTTTTCGTCACACCCCTTTTCTGTTGTTGCGTCATTGGTAGCTAGTCTTCAGTAATAAATAGCCCAGTAAGACTTCCAGGGGTCATACTTTAACCACAATGAAATTAAGGAGTCCAGATAGGCCCCTACTCACCGCAGAAGGTCTAAAGATGAGTTTGGTGTGAGTGTGTGCGTGTGTGGGTCTGTTTCTGTTTGTGCCTCCGTTTACACCTGGTGCGACTTCTCGCGGTGTCCCGCAAACAACTGCCATATGTGGGCTCGATCCCACTTTCCGATTGCCCAGCCACCTCAAGCATCAGTCTAGTAGGCT